CAAGACTGTGGTCTTCAGCTGCTGGAGCCCGTCTGATCAGAGATGGTTTCTGCAGACTTTTGTAACGAGTGATTATTTGAGCCACTGTTGTCTTTCTTTCATCTCCAACCAGTCTGCTCATTCTGCTCTGACCTCAGACATTACTGAGGTTTATTTGGCCTCTCACTGGATATTTTCTCTTATGAGACAATTCTCTTTTAACTTTAGACATGGGTGTGTAAAAATCAGGGGCTTTGACTTTCATTCATTTTTCATTTATTTCTATAGCCCAACCCTGACTCTAAACTTAAACCTAACCCCCCCACCCAAAAATGTCCCAAAGCTTAGGTACACCGGGTCCCCACAAAGTATGTATTTTGAGTAATTATTTTGAGTAGTATTTAGAAAAAAATGGGCCTTGCAAGACAGCATATACTAGAACACACACACAAACACACACACACACACACTACAGACAACAACAAACAGGCGAGGCCTGGCGTCCTCCGGAAGCGTGATGAATGTTGACCTCGTTTCAAGGTTACATGATTCCCAACCACTGGCTCCTGCTAATCATGGCTCTCACCACGCTGTGACACACGCCCGCCTCTTCTTCCAACATGTGTGTTTTCTTCAAAAACCTTCTCAGTTAATATTTTCAGGTGCACCCTTTTAGGTTTGTAGGTTAAATAAATAACTCCAAAAACTGCAGCTCATACAGGTTTGAAACTGATTGCATGTGAATAAAATGATTGAATGAATTCATTAATGCAGCAGTATTGCAGAGTCTTATTTTAATGCAGTCTATTTGTGAATCTGAGAATTATTATTCCAGGTGCTTCTACCTGCAACACATTTCCTTTGAAAAATGTAGCTTCTGGTTATTTATAGCTCCTCACTATCATGCAAAATGATGGAGAAATTAATAAGGTCTTTAAGGTGCTGTCCCCTCACCATGCAGGATAAGTTAATGGGTTCTTCATTGTTCCATTTAAGTCATTTCAGTTTATTTATATCACACCAATTCACAACAAGTGTCACTGCAGGGCATAAAAAACAGATCCAGCTGATCTAATTTACATCACAATTACAACATGTCAATTAGTATAAAATACTTCATTTAAATAAGAAACCAGCAGACATTAAAATCTTCACTTTGAATCAATTCTCAATCCTGAACAAGTGCAGGGTGGTGGGTGACAGAGGAAAGGAATGACTCTCTCACAACAGGAAGACATCTGCACCAGAACCAGGTTGGGTGACAATAATACTAGGTTTTCATTCTATACCAGCTGGAAACTGAGAGGACAGGAATCTAACTTCTGCTGTCACCATTTGTTGTCTATATGTGAGTTTGAATTAAACAATCATGTAATGATTAACAGGTTTTAACATGACAGCAGTTCACTTTGGTCTGGCTGCTTCCATACCAGCCATTAGTTCATCAACTCATTCAGAACTTACCTCTGCTTTTCCAAACATACAACGGGTAAAATAAATATTGAACATGTCACCATTTTTCTCAGTAAATATATTACTAGAGGTGCTAATGAAATGAAATTTTCACCAGATTTCGGTAACAACCCAAGTGATCCATACATACAAAGAAATCAAACCATAAATGTCCAGAAATGAAGTTATTTGTAATAATGTGGAATGGCACAGGGAAAAGTATTGAACACATGAAGTGAAATTTATCTAAAAGCCTTTGTTGTCAATGACAGCTTCAAGACGCCTCCTGTATGGAGAAACTAGTGGCATGCATTGCTCAGG